GACACTACGTCCATATTTTTTTACAGTCTATGAGAAAAACAAAATAATGACTATTGTAATGCTTGACGTAAAGCAAGTCAAATTTGTAGTTTTCTTATGTCTCATTAGAACTACAGAAACGCGACCCGATCTGGCAATCTTACATAGTGTGGTTATAGCAGATATAGGACCGCAAAGCGGAGGCATAAGTGCCTTTCACCCTGTTACGACTAAATTAACCACTGAAACGATTTTGGAAACATTATTTTAAGGTAAAAAATCTTACTTCGTGTTGCTTAAAAGTTTATAATTTGGACATGTTTCGTCTTGCCAATTTACACATTCAAACAATTTTAAACGCGGAAAAAGAGAGAAGGGTATTCCTACACAACTGGCGGCTGCAGTTTCAGGACCCCAGTTCTAGGACCACAGTTTCAGGACCCTAGTTTTGTGTTACAGCGCTACCTACCGAACTGGATCATCAAAAACACACATTTAACCCCTTTCGCGGCAAAGATCACAGACGGCCCCAGATTATTGTTGTTCAACATTCATTACTCGTTAAAACATCACACTCTTACTTATTTGATCAGGACAAACTGAGCATCATTCGAAAGATTTAAGACTCGAGTCCAGCTTCGATAGTTGACCACTGTTTATGATAAAACTGGTTTGCAGTGACATTAATTTCTTCATTTAGGACAGGAGTGCAAAATTATTAATCTGTAACGTTCGTTATTTTGAAAAGAAATCATCACTCATAAAGCAGTCATTCACATCTTATCAGGTTTATTTGTGTTCACATACATGCAATATACAGCACCCGCCAGGGCTCTTAGTCCAATGGTGCGCATATTTGGAGAAATAATGATTTATCATCACATGTTTGTAAAATATTTTATATCTGAAGCTCAAACAGCTAACACAGCGAGATATGTGTCTCCTCTTCCTGAATCCTGATTTGCGTCAGTTATGATCTCAGCGCTCTCTTATTCGCTATACAGCTGTCAATCATCTCACGTGGTTGAACGTGACAATTAATCCTGCCCTTCTGCATGACGCGCTCCTGTGTGTATGCTGTGTGTACACTTCCTCATTCTGACCTCCGTGATAACAAAGCTAAGACACATCTCTTCACCTGAAACAAGAAGCTAATAAATGCATGATTTCGAGTATATGTGGTTTGTGTGTGATTTCCGTGTGATTTTGGATATTTTCATATGAATAAAGAATGTTTACAGTATTGCTAAGCAAGGTGTAGCCATTAGCTGCATATAAAATGCTAAATAAAACATATTTCAACATCTTTTTTTTTTACTTAAAACCATTTTAAACCACGACCGGAATATGATACAAATACTCAATGGTGGTTTAAAGTGATGCTACTTGCTCTAATCCACCTGCTGCAGGAGCTTTTCTATTCAATAATCTTATTTGTTAAAATATATATACATATTTTTTTTAACAAGACTTAAGATAATAGGTGGATCTTGATACCATGTACAAACTAAGGACGTTTTCACACCTGAAAGTCCGCACCAAGGTCCGAACCAAAGTTCACATTTTGATACATTTTATACTTTCAGAAAGTTTTGGTTTGGTTCCACACTGCAATTATGCGAGCGCACTAAAGAACTTTACGTGACATTCTTGCGTCCTGTCGTCATCATCTATGTGGGCTGCATCTTGACATTGATTGGTTTTGTAAATGGACGTGCGTCTGACGTCAGCGTGTTGTCAATTCGGCGGGTAACTTTGACAACATGAATGAACAGACGCATATCGTTGCAACTATATTGTTATTTTTATGGCATAATTACCTGCAGCACCAACTATACACAAGGCTAGTTCAAATTCGCCAAATGAACGTCCTGGTCGTGCAAACATTTTATCGTCGCCGGCAGGAAAAGGAGGAGAAGTTGACTTCTTATTATGTCATCAGACCATACTTCAATTAAAAACCTCGTCTCCTCCTCTCCCCATGTGCTACCACGGCTCATTTTTCCTGCCACCTTCTGTTTTTTCAGCTATGCGGGAACCACCGGAACTTCCTGTAAAAGGTCTGAAAGTCCGAACCATACAGAAATGCTTTCACACTAGAAACGAACCAAACCTTTGTTCAGTTTGATCCGGACCGAGACTACCTCTTTTCGTCGGACCAAATTTCATCTGTTTGGTCCGGACCGTGGTCCGGGGAGGTTTCACACCTGTAATTTTGATTCGGACCAAACTGAAAAGTCCGAAAGTCCGGACCAAACAAGGTGGGCCCTAAATCACCTGGATCCTAGAACTGCGGTCCTGAAACCACAGCCACCGCTATATCATCCAGTTCGGTAGGTGGCGCGGTCACAAAAAACTAGGGTCCTGGAACTGCGGTCCTGAAACTGCAGCCTCCGGTTGTGCAGGAACATCCTACTGGAAAAAGAGGCAAAAATCGGGACTTGCGCACAGCACCCGAAGCACGCGCGCAGAGAGAGAGAGAGAGAGAGAGAGAGAGAGAGACACGTTTCATATAGAGCTCGAACACCGAATTGATTCCTCTTTCGCATTTCCTTGCCCTTGAACGGACACATAAACACAAAATTATGTCAAAATACCCTTCTAAATACCTGTCTCGGCAAGTATTCTCTTGTTTATGTCATTTGTGAACAGTTGAGAAAGAAACCGGATGTTTGTCAGTTTTTTCGGTCCGTGCATTCGGTCTTAACAAAGATTAAACTGCATTTAATTTTAAATTATTAATTTCTGTACCTGAATACTACTACTGTTAGAGTTTTTTACTTTGTTATTTAGTATTCATCTCTGCTTGTAATTTGTGTATTTGTTATTATTTTATTACTGACCGTTCACTTGTTTTAAATAATGTGTGAACTTTATCAGTTAGGCTAGTAGTTTTTGATGTAGTATCGAAGAACTTCAAGTGAGCTTTAAGTAATAAATGAAAAGCAAAGTGACCCCCCACCCCCCCAGACAGCAATGTAGTGTCGGCCCAGATCCGGGCCACATCTGGTACATGTGGATTCAACGTGGCCCAGATGTGGGCCGGATCTGGGTCGACACTATGTTGCTGTCTGTTTTATATATATTTTTTTTTTTTTTTGCTGATACGAAAAATGATCTGATCCGTGGCTCAAAAAAAACATATGATTCGAACCGTGAATTTTGTGATCCGTTCCACCACTAATACTGCCTATCACCTCCAAGCATAAACCTATAAGCCTCAAGATATGAGCTGTCTAAGAGTTATGAGAGGTTGTGCTAATCTTCTTTCATTTCCTGCTCAAGTCTCAGAGTAATACAACTTTGAAACGATCAAACAGCCTTTTATACCTCGTAAAAAAAATGCATTTTAACATTTTTCTTAAATGAGAGAGAAAACTCTTTTTTTGCACATAGGAGAAAAGTGAGTGATGGTACCAGCAATATACAGGCCGCTGCTGTCCATTCTAAGATGTTAATCTTTCTTTCCAATCATGTTTTGGCATCAACAGAGCATTACACATGACTCCAAACATCAAGCCTTAAAATCTCCAAACAGAGTAAATGATGACTGGAAAGGCTTTAATAACAAAAGCACAGCAGGGATTCATAATTTGATGTTTGGGAATGATCAGGTGGTTTTGTTTGCTCTGAAGTAAATACAGCTGAACTGACAGCATCTGACGGGAAAATGTTGCTTGACACAGCAAGTCAGCCAGATAACAGAATATCAAAGTGGGACCTGAATTGACTCCTAAAAGAAGTGTTCAATTTAAGATTTTTTTAACAGTTAGCATGAAAATCAACTGTAGGTTGTTTGTTTTTAATCATTAAAATTGAACCAATTCAGTGAGCATATAGCATCGCAGCTATAATATTATGTATCCACATGTATTCATTATACCCTTTAATTTCAAGACAATTGGCTGTTTATTAAATCTGGTGTTCAAGTGCTTGGATTTGCTAGAAAAATATATATTTTTCAGCTCTTGCAAACTATAGACTAATAAAGCTCTGCTCTAACAAACCAGTTACAGCTTATGAATACTAATTAAGCAATTTTCTCCATCGTACATTAGGATAAAAGCAAAATGCCTTAAATGCATAAAGTGATGATACTGTACACTACTGTTCAAAATCCCAGCAGTGCCTATTGGGGCAGTTGTGGCCTAATGGTTAGAGAGTTGGTCTTGTAACCCAAAGGTCGCGGGTTCGTGTGTGTGTGTGTGTGTGTGTGTACTTGGATGGGTGAAATGCAGAGCACAAATTCTGAGTATGGGACACCCTCCTTGGCTACATGTCACATCATTTTTACTTAAAAAGTTTGGGGTCAGTACGATTTTTTAAAATCCTTAATCCTTTCTCTGCATTTATTTGATCAAAAATAGAGTAAAACAGCAATACTGTGAAATATCACTACAATTAAAAATAACAATTTTCTTTGTATTTTCAGCAGCCAGTACTCCAGTCTTCAGTGTCACATGATCCTTCAAAAATCATTCTTTTTTTCAGGATTCTTTGATAAATAAAAAAGTTTTTTTTTTTTATTAATAGATATTTTTGTAACGATGTAAAACTCTTCACTGTCACTTTTGATAAATTCAAAGCATTCTTGCTGAATAAAAGTAATAATTTCTTTTCAAAAGACCCCCAAACTTTTGAACAGTACCGGTAGTGTAAACAGTATATAAATCAAAAAGATATCTCAGACAATCTTTTTTTACAACAAAATGGCTACACGTGCACTCGAGGGACTCTCTTAAACACCTTTAGCGTGCTTATTTTAATAATGTGAATGGCAATATACATGTCAGACTGAATTTTGTTTTGAAAAGTGCGTGTATTATTCTAACAGTCCATCTCTCACTGTTGTTTTAGCATGTGAAATAACAAAATACAGCTGCCAAATGTGTTAAACCAGATTGTACATGCAATAAGTAATTCTAAAAGAAACATTCTCTACAAATTCTCTACAATGTTCAAATTCTCTGAACTGTTGCAGAGCTTAAACCTCTGAAATATAAAAATGAGAGAATACTCACAGCAGGCATTTGACTTAGTCCCAATGTTATTACTGGGGATGCCAAAATAGTTATCAAAGAGATGTGGCCAACCATTATTGTCCCCTAGAAGAAAAAAACAGGAAGTAAAGGGTTACTCATTGAAACACACGCTGCTTGTCATTGCAAGCAAAGCCATTTGCTGTGGCATAGGTCTTCACAGGTGTGACAGAGTAATGGCACATTGATGGCACAGCAAAGACCACAATAGAAAATTAAAATTGCTAAGAACCATTTTGCAGGGTCTTCGGTTTAACAAATGTGCCTCCACTCCTTCACTCAGGGGAATATGCATAATACATAACAACACATTTGGGTTTGTTCTTTTTAAGAATCACGTTAACCTACTCAGCAACCCCTGTCAATCATCTTGACACTGGTTGGCAACTACAAAAGTTGTGGAGGAAATGAAGCAGGTGGCATGCAAAATAGGTGTGACTTTCGTGGCGTTTCCTGTCTCCCGACGCCTCACATTTAACATCTCAAACAACCTTCCACCTTTCTCAATCCGCCTTCATTAGTCACTGTCAGGAAGATCTCCTTTGATTTCTTAGGTATTCAAACGCAGTGTACATGCACACTATTGTTCAAGAGTTTGTTTTTAAATAGTTTTTCAAGAAATCAATACTTTTTTTCAGCAAGAATGCATTAAATTGATCAAAAGTGACAGTTAAGATTAAGGGCCCTATTTTTACAATCTAAGCGCATGTTCTAAAGCGCACGGCACAAGTGCACTCAGTGTGTGTCCGAATCCACTTTTGCTGGTTTAATGACGGGAAAAATGGCCTGCGCGCCCGGCCCATGGTCTAAAAGGGTTGTCTCTATTCTCTTAATGAGTAATGGGTGTGTTTTGGGCGTAACGTGCAATAAACCAATCAGAGTCTCATCTCCCATTCCCTTTAAAAGCCAGTTGTGCTCGCGCCATGGCGGATTCGCTATTTACATGTCGGAAGTTGCAAGCGGAAAAACTGAATGCTTCTCTACAGCCCATGGGTACACAAATGGGCGCAAATACATTTGCTATTTAAACAACATGGCTCAGGACGTGAAAATGATAACTGCGTCGGGCTGAAATAGCAAAAAAACACTTGCGTCGCGCCTGGCGCTGCATTGCACCAGGTGTAGGATAGGGCCCTAAGACTTATGTAGTTAACAAGTTAATTGAAGTTCGGGAGCAGGACCACGCCTCAACTAATCAGCTCTCTCCCCATCTGTATATATACACGGAACCCACCTTCACCATACCGTTCGTCTCAGTTTTTCGAAACCCCCCCCCCCCCCCCCTTTCCACCTCTAGCTCTCGACGCCACCCTTCCCCTTTCCAACTCATCCATCCATCCCTCTTTACCCCGACCAATCTCTAAACATCTCATTTTACTTCCACAGGCTGCACCCAGGGGGTCTTCAAGTAACTCAGCTTACTGCCTACCGAGACGAAGCCCCCACTCTGAGTCTCCCGGGTCAGACTCCCTGAGCAGCCAGACGGAGAACCGTAGTTTACTTTTCCCCCATTTTTCCTTCGACCCTTATCCCATTTATAAAGCTAATTCTGTGCAGTTGTGGTGTGGTCCTTGCTAGTGAACTACACTGTTAGAAATAAATGCTGCTCTTTTGAAATTTCAATTCATCAAAGAATCCTGAAAAAATATCAAGGTGCACAACTGTTTTCAACATTGATAATACTAAGAAATGTTTCTTGATCACCAAATCAGCAGATTAGAATGATTTTTGATGGATCATGTGACACTGAAGACTGGAGTAATGATGCTGAAAATTCAACTTTGCCATCACAGGAATAAATTACATTTTAAAATATATTAAAATAGAAAGCAGTTATTTTAAATTGTACTAATGTTTCCACAATATTACTGTTCCCTATTGGTCAGTCACTACAACGTAGGTCAGACTGACCAATAGGAATCTCGCTAGAGAGGCCAATCTACTTCGAGTGAAACTAAAACAAGCCAATGCACATTGGCATGCAATCATTTGCATCAGCTGCGCGTCCTCGTCAGCGCGGGTATTTAACAGCAGCTGTTATGATTGCACACTAGCTTTTTGCTTCGGAGCCAAACGCTTCATGTTTAATTCTACAGAGTGTGACTACGAGCCTCTTCTTTGGACCTCTCCTTCCCGGTGCGGGCGTTACAGCACGGCAGCGCGAGCAGTCTTCTTTTTCTCTCTCCTGTCTGTGGTGTGTTGAGCAAAACCAAAAAGCTGTTGTAACAGCTGGTAAGGTGCGCCGTACGAGTGCTCAAAAGCTGTTTTCACAGCTGGTAAGACAGCGAGAGAGAGAGAGAGAGATCGCGCACAGACAGGTGCACATTCCTGTCTGTGTTCGCAGTGACTGTTCCCCTGCGTGTTTCAGCACCAGTGAGAGCAGTCTCTAAAAGATTTTACACAAATAGAGAGCGTCTTTTAAAAAGAAAAAGATGACTTTCTATTTGTGTGTTTCTGGATGCGGTCGTTACCTGGGCTCACAGGATGGTCACAAACGCTGCCTCGTGTGTCTGGGCATTGAACACGCTGAGGCAGCGTTTGTGGATGAGTCATGTACCCATTGTGGGAAGATGACCATCGCGGAGCTACGGTCGAGACTCCTGTTCCTGCAAAGGGGCGGAGTCCCCGTGCCTCTGCCTCGTTCCAATCCTCCTCAGAGGGTTGCTTCGGGCGGGGGCGCGGGTGATCTGAGGATCACGGTGAGCGCGTCTCCTTCGGGGAACCAACCCCCTAGGAGCCCTCACCCCTCTCATGCTCCGCAGCCAGTTGAGCTTCCATTGGAGAAAGCTGGACCATCCTCGAGGTGTGTACCGGTTGTCTCCTTTGGGGCTCCCAGTGACCAGATGTCGATCGCTGCATCGGAGGGTGGGTCAGACCTCTCTGCGGACGACGACTCGGCACCGCTGCCTCCTTCGGGGGTGCCAGCGGTGCCTGAGACGGACCCGGAGATGATGGCCAGGGATAAGCGGCCCTAGGACGGGCGACCCGGAGATGGAAGGGACTGCTCTCCAGGAGACGATGACCGCATCGCTCCCTCCCCCGGAAGAGGGCCGGGTGGAAAATCCTGTGTTTCGTTTTGTTTGTGTTCCGCCGCTGGCCTTAAAACCAGTGGTACCCAAATTTTCAATAAAAGAGCAGTTTCTACCATCTCTGGGTCCGAAGAGGACCCGGAGAGCAGTGGGGGGACAGAATTCTCACCACTCTCATCCGCCTCCTCTGTCGCCAGTGAGCAGCAGTGTGCAGTTCGAGAACGCCACCGAGCCGCCTCCTGCACCTCCTGCCCCGTGGAACCAGGTAAGTGCTGCACAGCACACACAGACCCTGCTACGGGCCGCCTCCCAGAGAGAGCCTCCCGAGCCGCGTCCCTGTGTTCCACCTCGCTGCCCCACTCCGGGTACGCCTACAGTCCCTTTGGTCCCGCTTGCACGGTCTCTGAGAGCCTGGTTAGCGCTCCCCAGTCCGTCTCGCTGGCTCATTCGGACCATCAGGCTCGGCTATGCGATTCAGTTTGCCCGGCGTCCCCCCAAGTTTCGGGCCATCCACTCCACTACAGTGAGAGCAGCCGATGCCCATGTCTTGCGTGCGGAGATCGCAGTCCTACTTGCGAAGGACGCGATAGAGCCGGTCCCTCCAGCCGATATGAGGTCAGGGCACTACAGTCCCTACTTCATTGTACCCAAGAAAGGTGGTGGGTTACGACCGATCTTGGATCTGCGAGTTTTGAATCGGAGCCTCCACAAGCTACCGTTCAAAATGCTCACGCAGAGACGCATTTTCGGATGCATCCGTCCCCAAGATTGGTTTGCAGCGATCGACCTGAAGGACGCATACTTTCATGTCTCGATTCTTCCTCGACACAGGCCGTTTCTGCGCTTTGCGTTCGAGGGTCGAGCATATCAGTACAAGGTCCTGCCCTTCGGGCTGTCCCTGTCTCCCCGTGTCTTCACGAAAGTCACGGAGGGGGCCCTTGTTCCCATGAGAGAACAGGGCGTTCGCCTCCTCAACTATCTCGACAACTGGCTTATACTAGCACACTCTCGAGATCAGTTATGCGAACACAGGGACCTCGTGCTCTCGCACCTCAGCCAGTTGGGCCTTCAGGTCAACTGGGAAAAGAGCAAACTCGCCCCTGTGCAGAGGATCTCTTTTCTCGGTATGGAGTTGGATTCGGTCGCACAGACAGCGCGCCTCACAGAGCAGCGCGCTCAGTCGGTGCTGAACTGCTTGAACACGTTCAAAGGCAGGACAGCGGTCCCACTGAAATTTTTTCAGAGGCTCCTGGGGCATATGGCAGCGGCAGCAGCGGTAACTCCGCTCGGCTTGCTTCATATGAGACCGCTTCAGCACTGGCTTCATGGCTGAGTCCCGAGATGGGCGTGGCATCATGGCACTCACCGGGTGGCAATCACACCGGCCTGCCGCCAGACCTTCAGCCCGTGGTCAGACCTCTCGTTCCTTCGGGCAGGAGTCCCCTTGGAACAGGTCTCCAGGCATGCTGTGGTTTTCACAGATGCCTCTGCCACCGGGTGGGGTGCCACGTACAACGGGCATGCAGTGTCAGGGGTGTGGACGGCTCCCCAACTGCATTGGCAGATCAATTGCCTCGAGTTGCTAACAGTACATCTCACTCTGAGCCGCCTGAAAAGGCCGCTACGGGGCAGGGACGTGCTGGTCCGTACGGACAACACTGCGACCGTGGCGTACATCAACCGACAAGGTGGTCTACGCTCCCGTCGCATGTCGCAACTCGCCCGCCATCTCCTCCTCTGGAGTCAGAAGCGTCTGAGGTCGCTTCGAGCCATGTATGTCCCTGGCGTGCTCAACCGTGTGGCCGACGAGCTATCACGAGCTGTGCTTCCGGGAGAATGGCGACTCCACCCCCAGGTGGTTCAGCTGATCTGGAGAGAGTTCGGAGAGGCTCAGGTAGACCTGTTTGCCTCTTCAGAGACCTCCCACTGCCAGCTGTTTTACTCCCTGACCGAGGGAACACTCGGCACGGACGCACTGGCACACAGCTGGCCCCTGGGCCTCCGCAAATATGCGTTTCCCCCAGTGAGCCTACTTGC